GCACTGGCTAAATTGCCTGGCAGGCAAAGGAACAATGCTCCCTCTAAGCTGTGGGATCTTATGAGCAAAAATTCTACTTTGTGAGCTCCTGGCATTAAAGTTTGTGGGCGAGCGATTTGGCTGCTGCATAAATCAGTTTTCTCTGGAGCTGCAGTGCCCTCCTTCCGGAGCTAAGACAAAGACGTGTGAGCCAGAGGCTAAATAACTGTGAGCTAGCTCACACTAATTCAGCTTAGAGGGAACACTGGTCAGGAAGGACTCCTTTTCTGGAGCACCGTGGCTGAAAATGTGATTCCTATTAACCCCCCGTTTACAAATTGCAGACCCCCGCCTCTCTCTGAAGAAATTAAAACATGGGGAAGAAGAGAACCATAGTTTAAAACTACCACCACCAACAACTCCCGGTCCCAGGCACAGCCTATCAGCACTCCTCTCTTCCAGGAATGAAAGGTTCTCCCCCCCCAACGACCTACTCGTGAGTAAGCCCTCCCTGGGTCCGGCTGCAAAGGGGTCCTTCTCCCGGCTGTTGCTGATCTGCGCGCGCACACACACACAGTCCTCCTTAGCCTTGCAAAAGCAAATCCCTCCCCCCCTTCCTCTGTCCCCGCTCCTGGCTCTCCCCGTCTAGGTTGCTTTAACCCTCTCGGTGCTGCAGCCAAGCGGGGGAAATGCTGGCTGTCCTTTGCAGACCCGGACGGTCTGGAGAGGCTTCAGCCGGGCTGACGGCAGCGACGCCCTGTAATGCTGCTCAGTGGGGCTGCTCCGGAGGAACTCTGCTGTGCAGATGAACATGAGCGAGGGAAGCTGGCGAGCCAAGGAGAGGCAGCGGCTCTTTGGCACTCGGGGTGGAGGGGCCTGGGCCGGCAGGCAGGCAGGCAGGCAGAACAGCAGCTGCGGCGACTTGGGAGGGCGAGGGGTGGGCGGGGCTTCTGGGGAATTTCGGGGGGGTCTTCAGCCCCCCAGCCCCCGCATAGATTACGCCGGTGACTGACTCAGTGGGACTGCAGCTGTGGAACTACATTGCGGAGTACTCTCACTGTTTGCAAAAGACATACAGGAGGCTTCAGACACCATTCCTAAACAGGAGAAGCCATCTGGTTTTGCTCCCTTGACCCTTTTTAAATGTAGCAGACCAAAAGAACGTCAGTGGAGTCATTTTGTGGGCTGGGTTCTTATACTTGCACGTCTGTTGAACTTCTTTAAACAATGAATCAACTGACATGTTCCTAAAATGGCTTTTATTTTATTGTATGTGTAGGTATTTCCAAGGAACAAAAGGAACTCATAGGAAGGGAATGGTGTGTGTGTGTGTACATGACCTACCTGTAATTAGAGAAAAGCTCTGCAGGTACATTATAAATAGCACTCACTTTAATAAATGCAGGGGGTTTAATTTGAGTTTTCATACCATGTTTAGACCAGGATTGATTCCCTGAAAAAGAAAAGCTGCAATCAAGAATTCTTCCTCTACGAAATTTTCCAACTATTTCTGTTTTCTGTTCTCAGCTCTGTTAACCGACATCCAAGTGGGACGTTGGGAATTTGTGCATTTGTATGACTGTTTAGCACTTGCCTGTATAATTTACATTTTCGTAGTGAATTATTTGGATTTGGTCATCAACTCAATCTGATTTGAAGCTAAGCAGTCAGTAATATTTCTAGTAACACAGCCAAAATTTTCTGTTTCTTGCTTACAGTTTCTTGAGTGATGGGTTGTCATTTTTGTTGATGGTTCTTTGTACGGAACAATTCTGCTTTGTAGTCATCCGAAGCCATGTTTCTCAGTCCCTGATCTATGCTACTGCATTAAGGAGAAATTATACATCTCTCAGCAAACATAAACTGGCATTGAATTCTTGTAGCTGTTAAAAATGTTGAATGCTCGCATAACATGGAAAATTGCTGTTTGTAAATTGTGCTATCAAATGGAAATCAAAATTTTGCTGGCAGTGACATAGATTTGCAACTTTCCCTTGATACAAACATGCCCTGGAGATCACAGTATAAAAATCAAACGGTGACTACAATAGTCTGAAATCCCCCCCTTTCTGAATCCACATCTAACTTCATTAGGATTCATTTGGCTTCATTAAAAGATGCTTCCTTGCAGCACTGTTTTATGATCGGAGGTTGGCAGGGGGCTGATAATGCACTCAGCCAAGAACCATGGCACATGCTGTCTAGAAAATGCACAGTTGGAAGCAAGACCCCAGATACAAGAATCTTGAGTCCCTAGTGAACGGTTAATTCCCTATAACAGAAAACCACATTGTATTGGTGTTTTTGATGTAGTGGACGCTAAGGGTTATTTTGATATACTGAAGGTCAAGACTGGAGAACAACTGTAGAAATACAGGCTGGGAAATTGCATGTTTGGCTTGGCTATGCTATGTGAGAAATAAGCGGCATTAGTAGTGAAGTCACAGATTTTACCTGAAGTTTTTACAGTGTGGCTTTGTGAACCTGAAGTTCCTTTAATACCTTCACTGAAAAGAACTGGAAATCTGCAGTGCGTAGTCTTAAGGCTTTTTCAAGGAGCAGTGTATTCATTAAATAAAAGAGCAGTGCATTTATTGTTACAGAAATGTAGGTAGATAGAAATAGTACCTGTTACCTATGAGTAGAGCTGAGCATATTACCTACTGACCAGTTGCCTCTTGCCCTCTTCCTGTCTTCATACTTTCAACAGGACCATCAGGGCACTGTTTCATGTTCCACCCCTTCTCGCCATGTTTTGGCCTGAAGAAGATGGCAAATCCCTCCCTGATTCAGTGTATAAAGACCCAGAGGGACCCAAAGTTGCATCAACATTAGAAAAAAGAACAAAAAGAACAGGGTTCGCCAGATACACATTTAGCTAGGGCAGTGGTTCCCTTGGAGGCCGGCAGAGTTATTGCAAGGGGTCTATGAATCTTGCCATTTTGATCATTATGCATTTTCTCAATGAATGCTAGTAGTACAGCTACTATCATGGGGGGGAGGGGGGCCCTGCCAATTTTTTTTAATGTTAAAAAGGGGTCCTCATTCTTGAACAGATTGGGAACCATTGGCCTAGGCAATGTCAAAATGTACTAATTTAGCACCTTGGAAAATGCCAGGGCAGTGATGTTTTCTGTGTTTAATTTAAGCCCAGAAGAAGTATCTGTGAAATTGTATAGCATAACTTTACAGTCGAGGCTAGGGTGCCCACAACCATCATGAACGGCAGAGCAAGGCAAAGGGGTGATGGAGGCGGGACAGGGAAGAGGCAGAGGCTCTGATGAGGATACCTGGAGACATTTGGCAGGCTTCATGTGACCACTGGGCCCTTTGAAGTACAGTATTCTGGCCTGTGTACAGTAATGGGTACTTATGTCTGCAGTTAAAGGTGAGGAGAATACAAAGGAGGGATGGAGGGAACTCTACAGGTTTCCCGTGGCCTTATAGAAAACAAAGCTATGATTTGTGTGTAATTAACAAATAAGTGCAGATTTCTGTCTTCAGTGTGACCTTGCAGCAGCACAGGAAATAACAAGTACAGTGAGCAAAGTGGGATACAAAGCCATGATCTCTGCAGATTTCACAGGATTTCCTTACCCAGGCAATATGGATAATAAAACCGTATTGCCCTTTATTAAACTGTAGCCGCAGAGCTGAGTGTGTTCTTTTCATACCCCACATGAGCCTGTGAGAGCCTCATAAATGAAGAGAAATTAGATTTCTAATCTTATGATAGCTAGTTTGGCAGGAACATAGGATTTGTTGTCCTGGATTACACCACTTGCCCTCCAGGTCTACAGTCTTGAGCCTGGGAGTTTCTAGTATCCGAAGTGTCAAATGAGAGAAACAGCAATTATATAATGATGAATTGAGGGGGAGAGATTCCTGTTATACCCTGAGTCATGTCAGTGCATCCTTCATAGAATAGTTTATGATATCTCTCCTTATACATAATTGCGTTTTTGTCTGGCAACATTCTATGCACTCCAAAATCAGTTGGCTCCATGATGTGTCAATCACAAGGTGTCTCTATCTACTGGCTGTGTTGCCTGAGTTCTCTCCCACCAACTGCAGCCTAGGCCACTCTTCTCTGATTGGTCCAGTGTGTCAAGGTCATTTGCATATGGAAGCTGATTGGACTTCGCTCCATTCCGCACCTCAAACTCCCCCCCTTGCAAGACAGTTGGAACTGTCAGTTGCATATGCGACCTGGTGTATTCTGAGGTAAAATATGTCCTCACTCACAACACATCACTTCCCCTTCAAAAGAAACAAACCCAATAGCACAACCATGCCACACCACAAAAAAGACAGATCACACCACAAGCAGAATACCACAAGGCAAAAAATGATAGGAAAAGGGGCCAGCAGTCACCCCATTACTGCCACAGATATGTACCTGAGAGTACTTCAGAGGATAGTGTGCAGGTCCCAGGTTCATGTTTTAAAAGCTGCCTGGGGGATTATGGACCATTCACAGACTTTCAACCTTAACATACCTCACAGGGTTGTTGTGCGGATCATACGGGGGAGAGGAGAATGATGTCATCTGCTTTGGTTCCCACTGCAGGGAAAGACTGCTCTTTCCCTAGGCAGAGGTTGAGGGGGGGGATGTAAACCTGAAGACAGGGAGATAAAGGTCGGCTGATGGTTGCCTTGAAAGGACATAGGGTTGCCAACTCCAGGTTGGAAACTTCCAGGATATTTTAGGGACCAAGCCTGCTGAGGGGGGGGGGTCTGAGGAAGAGGAAGAGGGGGACCTCAGACAGATACAATGCCATAGACCCCACCCTCCAAACAAGCTGTTGCCAGTCTTCAGGTGACAGCTGGAAAGCTCTTAAAGCTCTGGTGCTAATTCAAAGTGTTGGGAGACTTTTCCATCCTCCTTTGCATCAATCTGTCTTTGGCGGCAACCCTAGGTCTGCCAGCACACTCAGAGTGACTTCATGCCACCTCACTGGCATTACTTCACTAGCCCTGGCTGCTTGCTCCTGTTCAGCAAGAGCATCCCTATGGAAGCTGCCTGGGTGATTTTGGACCAGCCCCAGACTTTCTGCCTAACCTACCTTGCAGGGTTGCTGTACAGATCACAAAGCGGAAGAGGAGAATGAGGTAAGCTGCTTTGCTCTCCACTAACAAGAAAGACAGAACTTTGCCTAGGAAGAGGCTGCTGAGAGGGGAGGAGATAAAGTTGCCAACTTTAGGTATGGAAATTCCTGGAGATTTGAGGGGTGGAGCCTGGAAAGGGTGAGGTTTGAGAAGGGGGTGAGACCTCAGACAGGTAAAGTGCCATAGACTCCACCCTCCAAACCATCCATTTCCTCCTGGGGAACCATTTTTGCCAATCTCCAGGGGAGGGCTGGAGATCACTCAGAATTACAACTGCTCTTCAGATGGTAGAGATCAGTTCCCCTGGAGAAAATCGTAAATGTTTAAAGAAAGGTGAGGGCCATCTTTGTCTCTGTGGGAAGAGCTAAGGTGTGAAGATGTCATGATAATGTGGTGTAGTTCTAGTTGGACTGGACTGTTTCAGAAGGGTAGAGATGTATACATTTGAGTGCCTCCCTTTTAAAGAAGTATGCACCCACCTTTGTGCATACATCATGCGAGGAAGCAAAGCTAGAACCCTTCCTTCTGGTGTGCCACTTTTCTCTCTATCCAGTGAATTATTTAATTTTTAAAAAGCACTCAAATGCACAAGCCTCACCTGAATTTTGAAATGGTGCAATATAGTTTTGTGACACTCAGGAGCCTGAGGGTCAC